CCCCCCCCCCCCCCCCCCCCCCCCCTCTCCTCCAGAGCGAGTTCCCTCACATGGCCCAGTTCTCCAGCCTGTCTCCGATCCCGGGCTTCTCCTCCTGGCTCCAAGGTCTGCTCAGCCAGTACAAGAAGGAAGGCCGGGGCTCTGACCTCCTCTCTGAGCAGGAGTGGAAGGAGGTGGAACAGGCCACTGACTCGGCCCCGGGGTCTGCAGCCATTGAGGCCCTCCGCAAGCTGATCGCCACTAGCGAGTGGATGCGTTCTGAGCGCCTGACCCGCGTCCTGGAGCCCGCCCTGATGAGTCTCTGTGCCTGGTACCTCTACGGGGAGAAGAGGCGAGGCTACGCTCTCAACCCAGTGGCCAACTTTCACCTGCAAAACGGCGCCAGCATGTGGCGGCTTAACTGGAACGCTGACACCAGCCCAAGGGGCGTGGCAAACTCTTGCGGCATCATGGTGAACTACCGTTACTTCCTGAACGAGACGTCTAAAAACAGCGCTCTTTACCTGCAGAATAAGGTCATCGCTGCGTCGGAGCAGGTGCTGGGGCTGGTGTCCCAATTTCAGAAGAGCAGCAAACTGTGAGAAAGAGACAAGGACAAACCCACAAATACAAATCTGTTCCGTTAGATGGCACTTGACATCATTAATACGTTAACTGACAAACTCAATGATATAATATTTGACATTTTAAAACTGCTTCAGAGACGTCAGCTGATATTGTTTTTGAATTGAAATTAGAACTTTTCCCACATGACGTGTCTCATCCCATCGTCTGTATGTAGTGCATAGGTTAGGCTTCTTGCCTCATTGGGTTTCTGGTTGAAGCTGTTTGATATTGTGTAAGTGCCTCTCAGGCTGAGAGACTGTAGCTAATGAAGCAGGAGGCATCTATCAATGCATTACCATGTTCTTGGATAACAGTGTGTAATGGTGAAGCACGAGCAATGAGGGAGTGCAGCTACTGGAATAAATGATGTTTAGATTCTTTCATTTGGCTGAACCGTCTCACTGCAAACACGTTGATGAATGGGAGAGAGTTGGATTGTGTCTTTTCTTTTTTTTTTTTTCTTGGGCAGGGTTTCAATGGGGTTTACGTACACATGCTTATTCCCACTAAAGCACAGTACACAAAAGGCATGAAATCAATAAGTACAATTACCATTTCATTTTACATAACTCTAAACAAAACGGTATTTGTTTTCGTCGACTGTGCTCATTCTGACCCTCCTGGTGCCTCACATGATTTAATTTGTTTTGATAATTTTCCCTTCTCACACACACACACACGCAGCACCAACATCTCCAGAGAGCCATCATTGACGTTGTAACTGCTCTGTACAGGTGCCAAGCAGGGCTCATACCAGCCCACACTATTGTTGTGAAATAATATATCACAGCAAGTTGACTGAAATTACATTTCATCTCTCCAAGGAGCCAAACTTTCTTCTTGTTTTTTTCACACCATCTGTAGCCCCCCCCCCCCCTTACCCCTATTTTTTTCTCTCCCTGTGCTGCTTTGTGTCCTAGAAACTAATGGAGTGGGAAATAAAGTTAAAGTAAATGGCTAGATTGATGGTGTTCAGTTTTGAAGGAAGGGGGAGGAGAATAAAAAGGACAGTTGTTGAAAGGTTGCCCTTGACAGACAGTACGAGTGTCTCCGGAGATATTGGAGACAAGAGAAGCCCACTCCTCTGTGTGCGTGGGGACACGGAAGAGAGCGACACTGTCGCGCCATCTCGCAGTGGATTATGGTGCACACTTATATGGGTTGCCAGGGAAACAACCATAACATGTTCCACACTCGCTGCCGGTTTATTTTGAGTAGCCGTTATCTAGGTTAGTGACCGCACAGAGCGGCTCGGGTTAGAAGTCCAGCAGCTTTTTTTAAAATTAACTTTTTAAAAGTATAGCACGTCGTAAAGTGAAAGTAATTACTTTTTAGTCAATGCTAGTCAGTCAGGTGTTTCCCATTGGAAGAAGAATAAGACAAATCGCTCTCACAGTGAGCTGCTACAGCACTGAAATATGATTTATGGATGCATCAGGTCCCACTAAATGAAATAATCCAAACCTCTTCTGTGGATGCTTAAGAGGACGGGTCCACTTTTCATGTGTTAAATGGAGCTGATTTGAAAATGGCTGTTCAAATGAATGGAATCTGAACAATTAAAATTCTGATTTGTAATCAAATGGCAGTAACAATTGGATCGCCATGTTAGAGATTTTTGTAGACAAATGTAACAGCACGTATTCTGATCACTGACAGTTTCCATATTGGCGCAGTGTGTACTTAGACCGGTCTTCATTTGTATCTAATCAGATTACAGTTTTGTCACGTTTCCAGCCCAGCACATGTTGTTAATGGATTCACAGCCAAGTTCAATATTGTACTGCTCCGTTGTCACACTGTCTTTCCAATACTTTCCAAAAAGCAGCAGAAGACCTGATTACAATTGATTAGAAACTGTCGGCTGTGGAAATTCATGCCTCATCTAAAAATAATTCAGTAATTCAGACGATCCATTTATTTTTTTAAGATTGGGAGTGCATGTGTGCGTGGCGGTGGTGTATTTGATTTCTTATCCCTCATTTGGAGGAAATTGCCTTACAAATGAAGCTAATCCATTTTTTACAGATCGCAGGGGCCAGAGAAGTCAGAGAGTGATGGTAGAGTGGTGGCCGTGGCATTTTCATGTTCCAATTCATTCTGATAAGGTCCGAGATATAAAAGCCTTTTGTCTTCATCTGTACAGCAAGTTTGAAGTACAACTATTGAACTGGATTGTAACTGATATGTTGCATTTCATAATAATATTAGAAAGTTGTCAATAAAACAAAAACAGAAAGTGGGTGACAGCAAAAACATGTGGTATTCCAAAACCACTGGAACAGTTAATTGGAAATCCTGTCATGATTTTGGATTGGAAATGGTTTCTATAGATGAATAATGTCACATAGCGGTTAATCAGAGAGCCCAATAAATCCATCTGAACACTGGCGGTGTCTTTCTCCCAAATGAAATGCTTCAATCGCTTCTCATTTTATTGAAGCACTTGAATGTATTAAATGGTATGGAGGATACACATTGGCACCGGCACAGAACACAAACAAACCCATTCAAACTTAGTCCAACATTTCTCGTGATCACTGTGCCACCGAGGAAAAGAGGGAGCGCACAAACGTGCCAAATCAGACTCATTGGACGAGTGGCATCCTCAAAAGGAAATATGGTCGGAAGAAAAAGTCACAAAGGACAACAAAACATAAGAATATAATTCATTTTGTAGACGGAAACATGACGGAATAACTGTTACTGAACCTTCCATGTCAGCTGCAAAAAAACACCCTTTGGTATTATTAAGTATTTGACACTCAAAAATGCTAATCTGTTTCATCAGGACTGTGTGGATGTAGTTTGATCAGATTTGAATAACAGTAGCCCAAAAAAAAAAAGTCATGTCAACTGTCATATTTAAATGTATGTAGCCCTGGTGTACCGACCCCAAACACCCCATCATTCCAGTTTAAAGAGTAACTTAGGTCTACTCTATAGGGCTTTGGGGTGCTACATTTAAATGTTGCTAAATTCTGATTGGCGATTAAAAGTATGTGACATCACCTTTTTCCCACCAGAGCCCACAGCGAACTGTTATTTAAAAGTGTGGATAAATGCGCATGGACAGAAGTCTCTTATGGGAAACAACCAAAACGGCTTCAACTTTGTCAGATCCTTTTAGGATCCAATCACTCAGAGACATGATTATTGAAAAATATTTCTGGGCCTTTAAAAAGGTGCATAATAGACCCTTTTACAGTTTGGAATAAATGATGACATACGTAAGTGTGCGCATGCAAGTACAGCAGAGTGCAACAGCTTGTCAAGCTATGCAAGGGCATTAACCACCAAAGATTGCAAATGCAACCTAAAACAAGTTTAATCAGTAGCACAGTTGTTTGTTGCTATATTAATGTTAAACACAGTTTCTTTAACTAACTACTGACCAACCTACTTCATAGTAAAGTGTGTTACATGTAAGATGAAAGAGTAATTTATGCGGCTCAAAGAGTCAATGCACTTGCTGATGTGGTTTCTTTAGGGAATCAGCTCAGGTTGAAGGATGTGTCTGCTGAAATGTTATAGGGTGTGGCATTTTATTGTAACCCTTTCCCCTGACATTTGAGGGAAATCAATGCACCCCGCTTCTTCGGCGTCGGCATTTTTCATGAGGAGGACTTTTGCACACATTTTCTAAATGTCATTGTGTGGTCTTTCACAGCAGTGTTTGCGGGTAAGTGATGATGTGTGGAATGTGGGATGTTCAGTTAAAACTGAAGGGAGAAGGGAAAAAAAAAACTTCCCAAAGGCTGGATTTACCTGCAGGCTATTGACTTATCTGTGTATGTGTAAGGGGGCAGTTCATCCAAGTGTGTTAATCCATTCTTCCTGGTTGCTGTCGCTGGCCCTCCTTCATGCTTCTCACCTCAGATCATCATCATTCTCCACCTTCTCCACCCCTTGGTAACCCGACCCTGCATCCCAAAGCCCATCCAATCCCTTGGTCTGTCTTCAAAGGGATTCACGGTTTTACGAGCAATCAGGACATACACACACACACACACACACACACACACGTTCCACATGTGAATAGCCACACACTCTTACACACTGCCTTCTGAATCTGCCCATATTTTTGCAAGATGTAACCTTTAGAGGGCAGCAGAGTTTCACTCGGAGTGAATTGTCAGACACTAAGCACATACAGTATTTGGAAGGATGCTTCCCTGATGTGTTGGCTGGCCACACACACCTTCCCTGCTTTCCCATACCTCTCTCTCTTCTGGCATACCTTCCTTTCCTTTCAGCTCACCCATTCTGTCCCAGTTGCGGAGCGAGTTGGAGATTGACAGATCTGCTATATCTGGTTATAGGCTGTAATTAAAACTAATTTGGCTTGCTGATGGTATTTTCCGCCCCCCCCTTCATCCATTGCAATTAGTCAGTATTAGCTGACCTGACGTCTTGTATCAGATTAGGTTATTGAATGAAAAGAGGTAAACAGGCGGAGGTAGTGGTGGCATCACCCTCGGGTGAAAGCCACTCCAGGCATGATACAGCTGCCAGACAGATTGAAATGAGAGTGTGAAACCTCTCTCTCCCTGTCTCCCTCATACACACACCTCCATGCATGCACACACCAACTGTGCATTGATTCTAACAGTTCCCTGGATCACTGAGACAGCTTTTCAGAAAACATTGAACAGAAGTTAAAGAGCATAATGCGTAGAAGACACACATACTCAGTCGGCTCTCTAACCGAGTTCGTTGATCAGGTAAACAGATTGAGACCCAGAGGTGATGATCACTCACAAATCACCCTTCATTTGTCCTTCCTCCTCCTCATCCTCTGCTCTTGATATCGGGACCACCTGGACATTTCTGGAAACACATTTCTGTCGTACTTGCTGCTAATATAAAGTGCCTCCTACTGTGCATGAGTCAAATTTCTCAAACTTTTGACAGTTGGGAAACAAACCAGATGTTGAGAGATTTAACAAAACAGATGCTCTGCCACACATTGTTTGTATACTTGCTCTACGTCGTCCAAAGTTTAATTGACAAAGTTACTCCTCTGAGTAGAAAGACATCGTAAAGAGACCAAGATATAATATTTGCAATTTACAACACAATGGGATCACCAAAGCTTTAAAGATTCATCTTTGGGAACCATATCTGCACAAAATATATTGGCAATCCATTCAATATTTCGGTCTGGGGCAAAGTGGTGTACGGACTGAAAGAATATTCAAAATGATGGAGCAGAGGCAAAGATATTCTGACTTGTAATATTGGCCAAGCTCCAAAAACATTGGATCCCATGCTGTAACCAACAGACCTATACCCTGCCTGGTGCCCACATCTTTTTTAAAGTTTCTAACACAGGCTTTTTGTTATATACATGTAGTCATCAAGCCCAAACTCAGATTACC